ACGAAGCCAGAGCTGCTAATAAGAGAAAAATAAAGATAAAGTAAATAAATTCGTAATATCCGTTAATAAATAAAACGTTGCGTAATTAAGCAATAATAAGGAATGTACATTTTAGATTTTAGCATTACGCGTTAAAGCCTGTATATGACGTTCAAGAGTGCAATATACGTCACTATTAATTAGTTGAAAACTAGGTACTTTTAGATGTAAGTAACATCTTGTACCGAGTATCGTGTTAAAGGGTGATCACATAAAAACCGGCCGCTCATGCAAACTCGAATTACTATACGCATCGCATGCCTATCGGGATCGCGCCATCGTCGAGCTCGTTACGGGTCGCGCAAAATCCTTTTTGCGCCCCGTCGTCCGTTGCGTTTGACCCGTTTCGAGAGATTCCACAATAGAATGAGTGGTGAGCACACGGGGGTATGCGGGATCGAGATATCGCGTGTGTCTACGGTGGTCCTGCCGCTACACACAAGCGGCTCTACGGCAAAGCACCGACGCGCAGCAGCGCGCTGTGAAATCGGCGAATCCCACTCGATCAGAAGCCGAATGGAAATTAAATGCTCAGTCGACCGTTATGCTGATTGATTTGTATTCTGCGATCTGCTGGCATGGCGAGGAAGTGTGCTAAACTGCGGGATTTATGTTCTCTCCTAATTGCGTCGCTCTTCCCCCTCGCGTCTGCCCATATCTCGTCTACCCTACTATCCATCCCTCCACCCGCTGAGCTAACATCCTTGCTAGATTAATCCGACATTTGATGTGAAACGACATGTTTTTATGATGTAGAGTATCTTGCTTAACAAAAATGTTCAATTAAAATAATTAAAGTATGTTTAATAATAGAAATACGCGCCTTTGAAAGTAACATGTTGAATAAAATTTTTTCGCAATCTAATTTATAGGGAATGTATTAATTAAAATTTTTGTGCATTACAGAATGCAGACAGATTTTTATCAGTTATTACGTTATTTGCGCAATATAGACTAATTAAAAATAACTTTACGAGTTAGATTCCTTTTACTTAAGACATCAAAAAATGGATATAAAAAAGATATAAAAGATTTATAAAAGAGAACACTCTCTATGTAGTATTTTTTTTAAAGAATACAACTAAAAAATAAATTTTTTTGGTTATTCTGATTGACCTATATTAAACACGCATAAAAATTTCATTTTTCTTATTCTTATAACTTTATAGAACTAACATTCAAAGAAAAGTATGTAGGTAGATCAGAATATATACATAAATATTTGTAAGTATCCGCGGTGTATTAAGCTCGATTTTTTTAATTAACTAAGCTCAAATGAGACGGTGCGGTAGTTCGGTCATCCCTACGGAAAACACCATACTCTAAAGCGAGTATGGTATCGACATCTTTTGGGTCTATTAAGAAGTACATGACATTATTGATTTACGTATGAAAATTTTTTCAAGATTTTTAAAATCTGGGTATAAGTGTAGTTTTTAATTACTCAATACTATGTGAATTTGTATATGTAAATACAAATATTAATACGCTATGTATCCATTTATCTTGTATTTATTTATATAAAAAAAATATATGTTTTATTTTACACGTACACATTTTATATATTATTGATTGATTGATAACATCATGTACATATAATACTATTGATCTTATCAAGAACTGTAGAAATTATCCGATTTACTATATTAATAATAGTGATTTTTAGTTTAACAACAGCAAGTCTGTTATCGATGGCCAATAGTCGAATGTCTTGTACCAATAATAACTTACTACATATCCAATATTAGAGAACCAAAAATCTGTATCAAGAAAATTGCTATATTTCCTATCTTACTATTTGCCGATAAGAGCAATCTATTGATCACGATATCGGTGTGTAATCTGATAACATGTTTACACAAGCATTCCAAGTTAAAATCAATATTTTAAACTCTATGGGTATGAAAGACCCTTGTACCAACGTTGGATTAACTATCATTGGATAACTATCGTTTATATAAAGCTTATTAAGCGTTACCGTTTGAAGATATTTACATTTATCTGGATTTTACCTTGACTACTTGCCACAAGAACCATGCATCTAAGTTTCTCCTTTCAACTATAGTAGGCAGTAAAGAGATTCATATATATAAAGTATAATATGGATAATATTTTAATGAGTAAATTGTTTTTTGATATAATAAAGATATATTGGAAATATTGAGAGAATATGTAATTTTTAATCGTATTTCTTTCATTATTTATAACTTGTTCTATATTTTGAAAAATATATAGAAATATTTAGAGTTTTATATGTATATCTCGTGTAAGTCAAAAAACAAACAATTTAAATTATAAAAATATTAAATATTTAATCAGAGTCAAATGCTAAAAAAGTCGATTTGCGATTTTGTTATCCCACATTGTCCGCCACAAATTCGCTCATATATAATGCGACATATTTGTATAAAGAGGGTACTGAGTAAATCGCAGGGATCGGCGAGTCTTGCATACCAATGAGACTACTCAGACTTCTCCTTTTACCCTAATCAGGGATGCAACCCTTGACGCGATGCAACCCCTCCGTCTCGGCTATTTCTGGAGCCACCGGCTTACTTTGCTTCGAGGGTTGCGGCTCGAAGCGCGTATTTGGCCGACTTGGAAGGAGACGGTGATGCAACAGGGGTTGGCGAAACGAGGATCTTAGCACATCCAAGACGGTGGCTGGTACGAGGTGTTACATTCCATCCGAGATTTTCAAATTACCGGATTATGCCAAGAAAACTGGCTGGCGCAGCAACTATCTAAGACGCTTAACGTCGTCGACACGGGTCGCATGGTTTTAAGTGACGATCATCTTAACACCCCCCTCCCCCCTCCCCACGACTCCTCTTGCCAAGTAGACGAATGAAGTTCGAGATTTAGTAGCTTCTTGCACAGACAGCGCCTGACGAACGGTATTACCGATTTCAGCAATCCTTGGATATCCACTTTTGTTTACGAGTTAGATAAGTACGCATCATATGTTTATATTAATAGTTTAATACAATTTCGATTATACTATTAATATCAAATAGTGCGTTAATATTAATAAATATTTAAAATATAAACAAATAAAGAAACTAATTCCATGAGACTACATAAATTCACTTAAAAATTTTAATAATAGAATAATTTAAATTTAAGCAATTTTTCTCACTTCAATAAGTTGATATAATTAAAATATAATTTATGAACTATCGTAGATAAATTTACAACATATTTTTACAATTTGTAGATTAAGATAAATTGCGATTAAATAATCAAAAATAAATTTTCTTTGTATATGTATATATATCTAAATGTATGTATGTGAATACACATTTTTTTCGTCGAAAATAATTAAGAAAACTTTTATTTTTTCCGAAGAAAACTATCTTGCAATTAATATAAGATTTAATCAGTGCAATATTTTTGTGAAAAAAAAAGAGTGATTAATTTCTTACTAAAGGATACAATGCTGTCTCAAATTGATGTAAGTGAGATATTTTTCCACTCCGTATTGATTTCTCATTTATCCCGGTAAAAACTTCATCTTTCTTATAGTAAAAACTTCGGAATAATCATTAAAGTGGAACAATCGTGCAACAATCGTGAAATAACACTTCACAAAAAACAATTCAACATCCTCTGTTTCTGAATTATTCTAAACTACTTAGGTATATGCATTCGTGCGTAGATAGCATGTTGCAGCTAAAATACGATTAAAATACAGTTTTCTTTCGTGTTACGATTTGAAAAGCGAATATTCATCTCGCAGCATTAGGAATACCGTATAGTAACGACACACATCTCAGAGTTTTTATTACATCCAATACCGAATCGTCCAATCGAGTAATAATTATTACTGGGATATCACTTATACCGGGTCGTTAATATATAATATCGCTCTGGCGATATAATGATTCCGAACTAATTGCTTCTCCTATATTACATTTCATGTCGTTATGTTAAATATTAATACGGATCAAAACACAGAGGAATACATGCATAAAGTTAAAACCAATAGAACGTAAATGCGTTTTTCCATCATATTCTCGATATTAAATACAACTGAATTTAATCCTTTGCAGATCCTATATCAAAGTGAATTCAATATGATGGTTTACGGTTTAGTTTTTATCACGTCTTTTTTTCAAAGATGCTCCATTCGTTGAAATTAATTTGGAGCGCGAAGTTGGATTCTAGTTTTTATATTTGTACACATCAAATACAAACATTCTACGAATACAATACATCAATAAAATTCAAAGAGAGAAAGAGCAAAGAGAAGAAGAAGGAGAGAAAGAACTTAATTTCAGCTCTAAATAAACTTTTACAGCGCGTAGCGCAAGTGGAGTCGTATAATGTTTTGAAAGGGCAACGTACTAGAGTTCGTTATGTCAGACAATTCTATCAGCTATCGGCAACTCGATTCCACGGTTTTTACGCTCGCGATCGTGGAAAGCGCGAGATCACTCATGCGATACGCACGGCACAGATAATATCGCGCCAGTCCGATCGACGGTTCGGCTTAACGGCGAAGCGCAATCGATCAGTTGCCATTGTCGACAAGCCCGATCGACGAAACCCGGCGTGACTTCCTTGATGACGAAAAGATGCCTTTACATAAGCCGACAGTGAATGACACAATCGTCGGTTCTTTCTAATTTCTTAGATAGATCAATAGATCGACCGATCGATCCGGTCTCTAAAATCTTGGACAGGTATATTCGCACGATAGGATTCGCAGATCTTTTCTTTGGCGCAGACAACTTCTGCGGAAGATGTTGCGAAATTAGCGAAGCGCAAGTCAAATTGCTCGTTTAAGTGATTGGCCACAGCGACGACTTGCAAGATCGATACGAATACACGCAATGCCTATTGCTTCTGTCAGAAGGATTTTACTTAAGAAGGTGGGAGTGTTATAAAAGATTCAGCGAGATAGATTGAACGGGTAAGGAATCATTGAAACCGACAAGATTAAGGTAATCTCCCGCGAGATGTATTGGAAACTGTTTGTGTCACTGCTCCCGCACCTGCTCGTTTGTAACTCATTGGCCAGATCTGTTATTTACGAAAATGTCGAGGACGACGTCGTCGCCGTTGGCTCATTCATTCGCGAGGTACGCCAACCGGCGCCGTTAAAAATCGCTGCGGAAGTGAGGGACCTAATGAGCGCCGGTAACGCACCGAAAAAGGATACTAAAAAACACATGAAAAACGCATCTGGTATGTTCTTTATAAACTAATGTTTCTAATAGAATATAGTGTACGAAAACATATGTAGTTTAGAAAACCATTAGGCAATCTTAGAAATATAATTTATCATATACTAGCTTGTGATTTAAATAATTATAAGAAAATCAATAATAAGTTAAAACAAGTATATTGTATCTGAAACAATTGGTTGTAATTTATATTATATCTCTCTCTTTCTCTGTCTCTCCCTCTCTTTGAGATATGTCAGATTAATGTTTATCGCCGAGTGTTGAATGCGTTAGATGTCTTGTTGAGCGTAACAAGGGCGGACAACAATGTGGTTTTAGGCAAATCAGACGAGGGTGGCTACTACAGAACCTACGGGAGCGATGCGGAGGGCGAGAAGGGTTACTTGAAGGAAACCTACGGTAAAGGTGATCACGGCTACAAGTCTCTCGACACCTTCCACAAACAGGATGGCGACAAATACGAATTTGAGACGCAAACCTCTTACGGCAAGGCTCATGACGATAAGAAACGTCATAACGAGAAAAAGAATCGTGATCACGAGGGCGCAGGTAAAGAATCGTCAGACTGTAATTTACAAATCGATAGCAGATACTAACGCGAAAATCTGAAAAGAAAATAAAGAGAAATCTAATAATTGATAAAAAGTTCAGATTCATATTTTATGTATATTCGATTTACTTATCTCGCGAAGAATATACATGTATATGTCGTTACATGATTACTTTTGTCAATTTAACGATAAAATAAAATTTAATCAAACTGTAAAAACACGATATCCACCAAAGCATCAAAGCGCTTTGAAATAAATGTTGCAAATAAAACAAAATTATTCTTCATAAGTACTTAGCATTTAATACGATATGAAAATTATAGGTACTATGATCGATACGGAATACGCCGCTGATTCGAGTGAGGGAAGCGAATACTATACCGGAGGCAATGATGGAGATCATTATAGTAGCCATTACACCGAGGAGAAAGAGCCGGAATCTTACAGTCACAACGAGAAATATTCCTCTGGCGATGGTGACGACGGATCTTACGAAACGCATAGCTCTTACAGCTCTGATGGGGAAGAAGAAGAGGGAGATCATTATTAATTTTATCAAGTGTATATCATTTTAACGTGTGGTTCAAATTGCAGCGTTCTCTTTTCAATTTCAACCGCAACCTGTTATTATTAATATAAATATGAATGTTTTGTTGCATATAAAATACGCGTTATCATTTCGAAATTATCAAAAATAATAGAGTATATTCGTGTACATGCATAGATACCTTTTTAATAAAAACGATATGACTCGCGCGCATGCATACGCACACAAACATTTTCTGGTATTTTACAAGCGATTAATACTCACTTTGCAAACAATAAATTTGTAACATAGATCGATTGTAATAATAATTTATGCTTAATAGCCAATAAAGTATTATCGTCATATGTCATATGTCAATTTTACTTGGTTGTTAACTTTAAACTTTTTGTGCTACCTACATAATTATAGCGGTATATATTTATTTGTAACTAACGTAATTATTCCTACGCAAATGGTTTTTCGATAACTTTAATTAAAAGATGTGAAAATCTTTTGCATCGATGCGTTGCGTTAAAACAGTCAGTGTAGAGTAAAGCACGCCGGCGGCCAAACTGAATGCTATGTATTAATATTATAACAACGTTTCCATTATGAAATCTGCCTTTACGCTTTCGCGTTTGGATCGATCGCGAAAGTACGAGCGTACACTCGAAATTACCGCCCGGCGAAACTTGTTACATTAGCAATGTCCGTGCATGATCGATTATCAACAGCTAATCCATTCTGGGGTACATTTCGCGTTGCATGCAAATAGTTCGTTCTCACGGTATAGATGGATACGTATCTATTCGTCGAAACGTTAATCCATTAAGTGGTTCATTTCTTCATCAAAATTGCACATCCCTGATGTATGTGCAATTAAAGATGCGCAAGAATGAGTACGCGCGTTTTGCGCAGAATAAATTTCGCCGCTGATTTAATTATACTCTGAAAAATGGAAACATGATGGGAGAGGAGGACGAGAATTTTTCTTTCTCGTAAAGAAGAAATAAAGTTACGACTTAATACCACAGTAGCCGACATGCCATTTATTCTTCGAGTTAACGCGATTCAGCTTTTACTTACTGTTATACGACATTCACTTAGGATAAAGTATTTGATTCGAACAAATTACGTTACACTATAGCAACGTTTACGCGCTAGTTACACCGGCTAATTAAATTGTCATTTAATTTCTTCGTGTGAATTTACGAATGTAGTTTGGTTTGTTGCGAAGAGTAGTTCTAATTTCTAATTTAACATCACCCGAGGGTCAGAAGCAATAACTCGTTCGCGGTCTTTGTCAAAACGCTTTGAATCCAGTATACGCTTTATGATTGCGTTAATTCATTCAAAAAGCAAATAGGTTTTCAAATCTATTCCACCACTGATTATAGATCCAATTTAATTACGCGCTTTAGCGAAGGCTTCGAAACCGTGCTAGATCGCAGATATTGCCACTCGGTTGGCAGTACAACGAACGCGGCTAATTGCCGACGAAATACAGTTCTAGCTGAAGGTGAGTACGATAAAAACGTGAGTTTGTTAAAAAGTACTTTCCATCACGCAAGAATGTGTCTCATTGCACATATTTCAGATCTGGTCATTGGTATAGGTGCGTTACATTCACGGGCGACTTGCATTTTGCAATTATTTATAACGAGGAAACTTTCCAGATGGTTGCCCATCCCCGAGCGGAAAATCAGTTTGTTAATTGTGCGAGATAATTATCGTTAAACGCTGCACGTGACAAAGAAATATTTTGTTGTCATCGCTTCACTCAACCGTTTTCCGGAGCCTATGCGCAATCTATATCAAACGCGACTAACAAAAAGAAGATATTTAAACTCGCTGACTCTACAATTTCGTCTTTATATCACGCCGTGCGTATAATTAATTAGGCGTTAAACAGAAAATATATATTTATCCATCATTAACGAGTTAAAAGACATAGCATTATTGAGCGAAAATAATCGGCTTAATTCAAAGAGTGGTGTATGCAGGCAATTAATACATTATTTGACGTTCCGATCAATAGATATTAAGGTATGCAACGCTCTTTGTTGGTATATTTTATTTAAACATTTCGCCGCAATATGTTTCCAATATCGCGTGCAATCAAAAAGAGAATATCGTGATAGTGGATCAGCTGAAAATACCAACTGTTTGTTTGCATAAATGAGTTTAAGAGGTGAACAAAGCGAGGGGGCGCTCAAATTAGAGACTATCACTGTCAGCTCTCTCGCGGCTATCGTCGGAAAAGCTTGTACCTCGAATAGGGCTCTTGACCGTAAAATGGAAGCTATGTCGGGTGGTCCCTCCGGGTTTAAATTAGAAAACAATTTCATTAGCAGCCCAAGAGCCAGCGCAAGGTCCTTTTGTTCGCGTCGGCGTATAACCCGACGGTTTTATTCAACATGCGAGAATGCGCCACGGGAGTGGTAATGCGGAGAACAGACGGGAAGGAAGAAAGGAAGAAGGAAAGATGGTGCGAGGGTAAGACTTGAATGTGAGAGACAGTTTGGTCGTCGGATTGGGAGGGTCGGGACTCTAACGGTTCCATCAACTGATTGCACACCTCACAATTTAGCGGCGCGGAATAGACGACGTCTGCGACATTTGCTATTTCTTTCATTATTAACAAAATCGATAAGAAAAAACGTATTCAACTTTAATGACATTATATCAAACAAAAGAGTTTTCTTAATTTTTGTGATTTTTTCGTCTCTTTGCTAAAATCTCGAAATTAAAAAAAATTATTACAAATACTTACTAGAAATACTTTTTCTTTCAGTACTAGGACTAATATTAATATGAATAGGATTATAATTGGGACGCACGTCAGGTTTAATGATATGGTTGAGTATTCTAATTATGAAAATTACCCCTGGAAACTTTTCAAATCTCTACTTGTTAGCATTACTATTCTCGGGAAACGGTGCAAATCGAGCGAGAGTAAAATGCTTGATGAGTCAACGAATTATCCCGCGATTCATGAACGCTTCGCTATGCTCTTGCCCGTGCGCGTAAAAATTTCAATGACATTTTAGATTTTAATTAAAATCCGCGCGCCGAGCTGATTGGCCAAACAAAGAGGCGAATGATCTGGATGGTCCGCCTCGGTTCTGCTTACAAAGCAATCTTTCCATCTGAGTCGAGATCTACGGCGAATGCCACCTAATCTAATCTCCGTTACGACGCTGAGTCGAAATCGAACTTGGCAGAACCCCTGGTCTTCCCTCTGTCTGAGGAATCCTCTGTGGAAACTGGGCAGTAACCAATCTTTATCTTGATTATGCAGCGCCAACACTGAGCGAGAGCCAATCTCCAATCGAAAGTGGTTGCCAAGTAAGATCGTAAAGAATCAGAATCTATCGAGCGGTATTTCAGGCTGCGAAACAAGCCGATATTTCGGATTTGCAATGGAAATCAACATCGACGATCATTGTATCGCGATTTTCCACTCCTTGTATTTGTTATCGTGTACGTGTACGTTGTCACTATGATTTTTTTATTTTATTTTGACATAATCTACCATGTTAAAAATTTTTGACAATACAGTCTGAATTTATAGTCCGCAAATTTTAGGATTCTGATCTTTGTTGTGAAATAACGTTTGTAAAGAATATCCCTTTCTGATTCATTAAATAGCGTCATATCGAGTTTCTTCTTTTGCATTAGAATTAGTGAAAGATTAAGACCACGGACGCTATTACTTTTCCCGGGTTTCGATGGTTTTTCGCGAGATCATCTAATAAAACCGTCAGAGATGCCGGAACAAATGGGTCAACAGTTAGCGAAACGACCCGCGCAACGAACGCCGCGCATGATATACGCGTCGCCGACGTCTGTAAAATTCAATAAATTGTTTTTGGTTTATGACGTTATAAATGGCGCTGTGTTTACGAGAGGCGAATTATTTATGTCGCAGGTAATAGAATTAATGATAAAATTAGACAGCTTATCGATGAGCTAGCGAGCGCGACGACGCACGTGCTGTGATAACAAAGCGCTTCTAGGGCATTCAACGCGACATATGCATATTCTATATTCGTATGTCATGACGTTAATTAAAATGATTGCGCGAGCATCTGGTAGGGTACTTAACTTCAAATATCGATTGAGGTCACGCCGCCGGCTACGCGAGGTGTTGATCGGACGCATGCACGTGTTGGACAACGGGATGCCACTTTGATTCAATATAGATATTTGGCCATTCGCGACCGGGTTCTCACGTGTATTAATTAATCACCGTCTCGAAAAAGCGAAAAACGATCAGTCACATCGTCAGTATTCAATTACTTACTTAGCAAGCCCTAAAAACAAGCACAAAATTTCTTTTTAAAGAAAAAAGTAAGTAAAAATATAAATGTATTATATTCTAATTAATATTTATATTCTAATTAATCACGTCAAAGTCTAAAATGCAGATGTTGATTACAAATGGAAAAAAAAGTACATCGATACGAAGACGATAATGCGATTTGCTGCGGTCTAGAAATTTCCGTGGTTATTGTTCCAGCGGCAAACCGATGCTCGCGGAAAAAGTGGTAATGGAAAGTTCTTCCTGACGCCGGATACAACTTTTTGCGGAAACATTGCGTTCACGCAGTGTATCGAGATACGATTAATCAAATAAAAAAATTTACATTGTTCGGAACATTCGTTGGGAACTCATAATTTTACAAATATTATTCGGAAGAGCGTTAACGAGTCAATTTGTTATGTCACTTCGCAAGCAAGAAATCGCAATCGAGGACCGACTCGACTATTATAATATTTTAACACCCGATTGAACTCTGCGAGATAGCGCGACGGAATATTCTAGTAGAATAAACGCCATGCGCAACGATGCGGGAAAGTGTGAAACCATGTGCTTCCCCACCGCATCGGTGTCAACGGAGATTGGAATGAAATTTAGGAATACTTGCGGTTGTGCGGATGAAAGTGGACTCGGCGGAAACAGACAACCCGGCGCCGTGACGGAAGTAGCTGCAGCATCGATATTTAAGTGTCAACCGTTGTAACATCGACCATCAGTCCGATCGAAACGGAGAGCGCGATCGAGATGGTGCGAAGTACGATGTTATTTCTGTCATTCATTGCAATATGTTCGCTCACGTTGCACACAACGTGTCACGCCCGAGATCTGGCCAGTGCGGAATCGCGCGTCAGCCGGCGCGATGTACGAGAAGAGAACGATGACCGTCATGTAGATCATTTAGAGCCTATTGTGGTGTCGTCTGCACCGCTTGCAGAGACAGGTGAAACCGATCTCGAGACGGCAGCGACCAAACACAAGGGTCATCACCATGAATCTGGCGGTGGTCACAAACATGAATCTCATCATCACGAAGAGCACGGCGGAAAAGGCGATAAGGGATACAAAAGTCATCATCATCACGACAAAGGTGACAGCGGTAAGCACGATAAGCAGCACCACTCCGGTCATCACGAAGAACACGGAGGCAAGAAGAAAGGCCATCATGATGAGCACGAAAAATACGGCGAGCATCATGAAGGCGAGAAGGGTCATAAAGGTGGAAAATTCGGTGAAAAGAAGGGCCACAAGAAGGGTCACAAAACCAAAGGTTATCACAACAAATTCCATAAAGACGAGTATCATAAAGAACACAAATTTTACGATGACTATCATAAGGGTGGACACCACGAGAAGCATGGTGACTTCCACGGTCATCACGAGAAGAAGGAAGGCCATCACAAGAAGGGCGGTCATCATCATTCTGGTTACCACGAAGATCACCACGGCAAGAAGGGCCACCATGACAAAGGCCATCACGACGAGGAGCATAAAGGTCATCACGGCAAGCACGGCCACGAGGAACATCACTCCCATCACGATTCGCACGGCAAGAAAGGCGATCACCATTCCGGAAAAAAGTATGGCTATAAGAAGGGACATTAGAACTATACGTTTAAGCATTAAGTATCAAAAAGCGATAACTCGTAGTACAGTTACGGCTTATGTACCTGCTTCGGACAAAGTCACGCGACGATGTCGCGTGGCTGTTGTATTTTGTATCATTCTTTATATAGAGCGAACACTAACATAAAGAAAGAAATTGTTTGGAAATTGCGGCTCGTTGACTTTTCTTTCTCCTTCAAAGTCTTAATGGGGCAAATAAGTTTCTCCCCCTCCGGCTCATATTTGTCCCAGCAGCTACATTATAGTCAAGACGGCAACGTGATATTACGCCTTATCGATTCTTCGCGATTTATTGCCGCCGTTTTTCTCGGCGGCCTTTTATCACTTCCCATCGGCAAACTAAAGTAATTTTGCCATTTCTTCTCGCCTTGTGCCTTCGCTTATTGACACAGATCAAGATAATAATTACGCGAGAACGAACACATTATTATTCTCAAATCATGCGAACAGAATTTTTACTCATTACAATAAGTTACTTGAAAGAAAAAGAAAAAATAACCGAGGCATATTATCGCGTTAATGTCGGGTATCATTATTATCAATTCGGCTAAAAAATTGAATTTAAATATTTGTTTTGCAAGTGGTATATGGTCCGTGTCGATAAAACTTTTTCTGAAATATAAAACGACAGTTTCATTGGTTCAAGCTGGCGTGAATTAATTTATTGTAAAATAAAAGTATTTTTCAGCGCCGCGTCTCTATTGTCGGGCAAGAGTAATATATTAGCAATTTTGCAGTATGAATTTTAATGTCACATATAGCACAGATCATTAATGCACCAATAATTGAGGTTAATCGATTGGCCAGCTGATTGAATTGATTACCGGATATTAATGTGCCGCGGGAACGCATGTTGCGATTTGACACCGTTAAATTTGCAGGTAAATACCGCATATATGCCTATATGCTACAGTGTTATAGTGTAATAGTGTGCAAAATAATATTGTATTATTCATTGTAAAACATCAAAATGAAAATATAGTTTTATAATATAATACAATCAATATTATCGCGTTCAAAAACAGAGTCAAATCATATTGTCTAAATTCTATAATAATGTTCTAGAATAATTTATTAGTCCAAATTGTGTTTTCTTTCATACCATTAATTTTTTTCAGATTAAATTAAAACAGTTTAAATATTACATAAACGGTTAATTATTTTTGTAAAGAATAATGTTGACGTTGTTTTTGCATAATTAATTTTTTGTACATTTATTTAGTTAATTACTTTGCTTTTTATTTGTCTTATATTGCCGCATTATGACGGCTTGACCAGCCAGCGCGCTGCCGTCGAAAACATATAATCGCTTAATCGCTGATATCTTCTGCAATGTATATATATGTATAAGCTTATTATTCATGGTTAATTAATGATTTTAGAAAACGTTATTTAAATCTAGTTGCATTATGTATATAATTTATAAGTCTACCAATTAATTGTTTGTAAATAATAAAAACTCGCAATCTCCATACATAATTAATATTTTTGCTAAATAAAAATGTCGTTAAAAAAGACAAACTAAACAATTAATTAACATTAAATTAAATATAAAATAAATTTTTCGATCTATTTTTCTTTGCTTCTATTTGCAGATGTTTCACATAAATAGGTTAAAACATTTACTGTCGCTAATAGTATAAAGCTTTGATTATGAACATACTTGATTATATCCGTTTTTAGCGTGATACAATGAATACACCAACAAGATGAGCTTAATCCAAATATTTAATTTAGTAGCTTACGTCAAAGGATTTCTTGCTTGGCCTCATGATGCAATTTTCATTATACGACTGTAGCAGGCAGATCATTTATTATTCGAAGGGTTACTTCAGCTTCGTGAAAATTTTATCAAAGATACGGGAGAGCTTATTTAACTAGTTTTCAACAACATTTTATTAAACAACTCTTGTTCTCGGTTGTGTTTATTCATAAAAAGAAGTTTATTGTTCTATTTTTCGCATGGATAAAAAATGCGACGTGATAATGTAAATTTCATTTCGTAAAAAATAATGACTGTTTCTTTCTGTTAAAAGCTTCTAATCCGGCAGCAATTCGGCGAAAATACAATGCAAATGTCACGTGTTTCTGAGTCTTCATTAATTTGGTCAAATGGCACGATTATTTTGACTTCATGAAAGCACGCGAAATCGCGGAACACCGCGGTAGTACGTATTTCTTCGAGCTCACGCGTTTCGCGCTTTTCCTTTTTTTTCCCCTGGCACACCGGATCCACTTCAATTACATTAATTAAACCACCCACACGTGCACGCATTACAATCCGAAACAATAGCGGACCCTTTCGACGACCGCTGGAATTGTCACACAGCGGAGCATTTCAAGTAGGTTCGTTGCCGCGTGCACATGCAATCTCCGGCGCGGAGATGGAGGCAATGGTCTCGCGCAACCCTGGCGAACACCGGCTGCATCGTACGTGGCAGTAAAGAAGTGCATAAAGTCCCGTTAATCCGTGTCCGGAGTGCCGGAATTCAATTCGGACGCACGCCGTAGAAGTGGCGATCTCATTTGCTACAAGGTGAGATCGTTAATCAAATCCGCGGCGCGATGAATACGATAGTAGGCGCCGCCGTGCGTTCTTGCTCCACCTGTTTTTACAACGAACGACGCATACGCAACGCGGCAGAAAGTGGTCGTATCGTCCAATATTATCTTGCAAAGTAAATTGAGAATGTGTGCGCTAATAAATGACGAATATTAATTAAAAATTACAGAATGTTTTTTGTATGTCCCCTATACGATTTTCATGCATATGACAGTTACAATGGCGGTGTTTCTCTGTAATTAATTATTATTTTTAAGATAATGAGCGTTCTAAACCAGTTATAGGACATCCTCAGAAGAGTTCGCTAAACTAAATATTAATATCACGGTAATACACTTTATTTATGCTGCCCGATAATGCTGATAACGGTGGATTTAATGCTGTTTATTAATATCGGAATTTGATAAATAGCTGGAGCATAGGAATTTTTATTAAAAGTGAAGATCCCCCTCTCTCTCAGGCATCCCGATAATTTACGATACTCGTAATTTGCCGATCAATAACGCATATGTCTATTTAATTGAGGAAATATACGTTTCTGATAACTGCGTGGAAAGTTTTCATGTTAAAGAAATATAATCAATTATAAAAAAGATATTTTTAAATTTTATAAAATAGTCATAATTTTGTAACCATTTACTCAGCTACGGTAGAATTCTGTAACTATTTAGATATTATGCATACCACGTAAATTGCGTGTATTTAAAAGAGATATGTTAAATGTGTTACTTTATTTCATATTCGATGTATGCATGATTAACAATTAACGCAGATATAGAGTATATATTACTGAATTATTGCATAATATGAAGATAATAGGAAGAACATGAGTAGCAGTAGGAACGAAAGCGAGTAACAGAATTCTATTTAAAAGCAGCTGGTGGTATCTTCTGAGTAGCAAGAAATTTCAATGTCCTTTCTTGTAACCCCAGTGCTTATGATCTTCGTGGCCGCCCTTCTTGCCATGATGATGATGGTGATGATGATGCTCATGATGATCGTGGTGACCTTTGTGTCCCTTATGATCATGATGATGATGGCCCTTCTCATGGTGACCCTTCTTACCGTGATGACCCTCGTGATGATGATGGTCATGATGTCCTTTCTTAAAGTGGCCACCTTTCTTGTGTCCGTGTTCATGATGATGGCCACCGTGCTCATCGTGATGACCATGATCGTGATGTTCGTCGAAGAATTCTTTGTCTTTCTTGTATTCGTCTTTCTTCTTCACTTCGTGATGACCATGAGTGCTGTGGCCTTTGCCATAGTGTCCCTTCTCGTGGAACTTATGACCCTTCTCCCCTTTTTCGCCATGATGATGCTCCTTGTGATGACCATCGTCATGATGATGATGCTTCTTATGTCCTCCGTGCTCATCGTGGTGCCCATGATGATGCTCCTTGTCATGATGTCCTTTTTCACCCTTTCCGTGATGATGGTGGTGCTTATAACCCTTGTGACCATGGTCGCCATGTTCATGATGATGATGAGAATGATGCTCCTCCCCGCCACCATGCTCGTGATGATGACTGGCGGCTACCTGAAGATCGTCGTAATTCCTGGTAATTTCACGTGCGGTGGTCACGCAATTAGTGGCAATATAAACTGCCACAAGAATTGTTATCAGTGGCAATGCACGACGTAAAGGAAACATGATAACAATTTTATTTTAATACTCAATCTATTAGTCTATCGCACTAATAGATCTCAGCGTTTTCTAGCAGTGCAAGCTGCTGTGATGTAGCGATTCGTGGGGTGTTATTTATATTACGATTCTGGTGCAATGAGCCATCAAATTCGGCAAGAAGAAGTACCTTATTTATATAAATAAAAGGTGGCGGGAGAGTTCCATTTCATTTCCTCCGTTACGGTAGATTATATAGAGTCTGTTCTATTTTGTAATCTACTACTTGTTTAAAGTTATATAAATTAAATTACGTGATACTGATTAAACTTCCTATATTGATTTTCAATTGTTCACTGAACCTATGATAGAAAGTTATACTACGTCAACATTGCCTTTTATTGTGTAAAATCAAATATAAAAGATTAAAATATTTATATTAAAACAGCTCTGAGAGAATTTTTATTCTTATAATTCGATTCAGATTTATACATTGTTTATTCATTCTCTGTAGTCAACAGAATATAGATTATCATATATCATTTTATACATATCTATAAATAAAAAATGTTTTTTTAACGACTTTATAGATTTTAATTCCAAGTGCATAAAAGAACATTGACGTTATATTGTTCATGTTCCATTAGTTCTTTTAAAATATTTATTTTTAATCAAATATTCGCATTTAAATTTTATATAAAAATAGATGTTCATATAACTGTCTTCCATAATGGCCATAATATATGTTATTATAGAAGTTAAGACAAGATATTCATAAAGTATTTTTCAGGATGTTGAAAATATTAATCTCTTACGCTTATCTCGATTTATATATTTATCTAGTTATATATCTATTAAAAAGAAAATTCATACGCAGTATAATAAACTTGATTTTAACTTTTTAATATGCGAATCACATAATAATTTCTGAATGTGAAGACATAAATAAAAAAAGTATATTGTGCTAATAATGAATATGTATGTATACAAATATTATAGGCATTATAAACAGTTCAAATAATTATAAAATAATACGATTTATATTCATGACGTTTGTATATATGAAAAATATTTCCATTTGATAACATACAATACTGTGTTTTGATATAAGAAATCGTAATATATTTATGCTCAATATAGTTAATATATTTAAGGTGAACATTATAAAACTTCTCTAACGGGTATACACAGGAATTATTAGGGGAAATAATGCGTTCAATCATATTTGGTATAGACATTTTAATTTCTCAATAACGAAATAAATCCATTATTCGACATCCTAAAATTAATCAACGAAAGAGCAATGAACAAATGGTGCAACAATTTATTCTGTTTGTGTCGCACTAAATTGTCAAGTTTCATATCATTAATGATGATGATGGTGACCGTGATGACCGTGACCGCTCGAATAACCATGCTTTTTGCCGCCATGATGTTCACTCTTCTTTCCATGATCTTCGTGATGATGGTGGTGCTCTTCGTGACCATGTTTGCCATGATGACCATGGTGATCTTCATCATAATGTCCTTTATCATGATGGCCCTTCTTACCGTGGTGATCTTCATGGTGGCCAGAATGATGATGTCCGCCCTTCTTGTGATGACCTTCCTTGCCATGGTGATGCTCATGATGATCGCCATGCTTTTCATGGTGGCCACCTTTATGATGATCATCGTAAAACTTGTGTTCCTTATGGAATTCATCTTTATGGGATTTATGATGATAGCCATGAGTCTTTTCGCCTTTCTTGTGACCCTTTCCATGGCCGAATTTCGACTCTTTATGGCCGTGTTCGTGCTCATGGTGGCTACCATGCTCATCATGCTCGTCGTGATGACCCTTCTTATGACCACCATGCTCGTGATGATGACCCTCATGATGTTCTTTACCATGATGGCCGTGTTCTCCCTCTTCATGATGATGATGGCCCTTATGCCCTTTATGGCCCTCCTCACCGTGTTCTCCGTGATGATGAGAATGATGCTCATGACCTCCGCCATGTTCGTGATGATGGCCATGGTGATGATGATGAGTACCGGCCACCTCCAAATCTCCTCTCATACTCCGAACATCTCGCGCCGAAGATATAGCGATGACCGTGCATATCACAGCCAATCCCAGAAACAAGCATGGACCTACGTATTTAGCCATGTTGGAACTCTGTATAGAACCAACAAGTGCAATTGACTGCCAATAATCTTTAAAGCAAAGCTTATATACCTGCGGTTCCACCAACGCTTTGTACGTAATCGCTTTCGTTCCTCTTGTTCGAACACAATATAGCACTCGTATTTCGTAAAACATTTGTTCGTACTGTGTATTATTGCTTGAATGCGCTATTAGTTATACAGAACTATTGTCAATCTTGGATTACTTAACAGACTCGATATTAAGTAGAAAGTTAGAGAGAGAGAGAAAATAGAAAACTAAAGTATATGCGATTATATCGTGTTATCTAATTTATAATTTAAAACTATACCAAAACTCGTTAAAAAATATAGAGTAAATTGCAAAATATGTAATATACATACCATACGTATAATGTAAGGAAATATTACTGTCTTTTATAAATATGTCTTTTAAAAACGAAACTTTCCAACTCTAGAAATGAAATTAGTTTAAATATAAATAATGCGTCTATTAGTTAGACGCACTTAAAATAATCGAGTTAATGCAGAATTTATCAATAAATAAACAAAAGCTATTTTTCAATTTAACGGTTGACGACTAGTGAAACGAGACGCACAGCAGAACGATTTACCGTCTTTCATTCATAACTGATGTTCAATTTATTTCCGGCATTAATCGAAGCATTTTTTTTTATTGTACTTCGCTTTTATATAACTCAATGGCAATGTCCGGTCATATATATTACACCCCCTTGCGTTTATCTCCAAATATATTAATCATATAAATTTTCGCCCGTTGAATTAAAGCTATTGGAAATCACCGTGTCGCCGTTCGGTTAAAAAAGGATAAAAACGCGTTATTTAGGCTCTACAAACGTAGTTTGGTAAGCAGAGTAACGATTTCAGTAATATTACATAACGACCTAAGCAACTGTCGCGGACTCACTGAAATCCGCATTACAATTTAAACAGGTTAAGGAGACATTACTTTCGCAACGACCTAATGAGCCAAGAAAGAACTCTGGCTACTCTCATATCGATTATCCTGCGGTCGATATATAATCCGAGCGGGGCGACTAGCTTAATCATACCTACCGATCACAGCGACCAAGTCAAATATCTCTCGTTGATACTGAATCAAACAAGAATAAACACGGCACGATGAGCAGATTGGCGGCGATCTGCCTGCTGGCAGTATGTATCGCCTCTCATTGCGTGATCTTCGCACGCGAGATCAGCAGGACACATTACGACGATCTACAGGTAGCCGCTACTCACCATCATCATGAGAGCGGCCATGGCGGAGAGCATCATTCCGGTCACCACCATGAACATGGCGGGAAAGGCGATGAAGGCTACAAGTCGGAGCACCATCATGAAAAAGGAGAAAAGGGACATCACGATAAAGAAGGCCATTCCGGACATTATCACGAGGATGAAGGCCATAAGAAACATCATCATCACGATGATGGCTATTATGGCGAACACCATAAGGGCGAGAAAGGAGAGAAGGGTCACAAATTCCACGAGAAAGGGCACTACGGTAAAGGCCACAACACAAAGGGCCATCACGAGGTTCACAAACTCGACGAGTTTAAGAAGGATAAGGAATTCTTCGACGAACATCATGATCATGGTCACCATGAGGAACATGGTGGTCATCATCATGAACACGGACACAAAAAAGGCGGCCACTTTAAGAAAGGGCATCATGACCATCATCATCACGAGGATCATTATGGCAAGAAGGGTCATCATGAGAAAGGACATCATCATCATGATCATAAGGGTCACAAAGGCCATGGCGGACACGACGAGCATCATCATCACCATCATCATCATGGCAAGAAAGGCGGCCATGAAGACCATAAGCACTGGGGATTCAAAAAGGGACATTAACGAATATACGGATATGCGGAGAATTATAATTTCGTTGCTATTACTTGTTGAGATGCGTTGGTTGACTGCCACGTTGCATTAATTATTGTACGTTACGACGGACAAAATAAATCTTTTTCAGTAGACATATTATATTTTTATGTATTATCTCATATATGTATGTATTATGTCAATTCGCTGCAAAATGCGATCTGTGTTTATTAAGTCATAATTTTTTTCCACTATGTTTTCTGTAAATGTGCAATAGCTTGCATTAATCAAACCCTTATACCACTATAGACGTATACTGGACGTAAAATAAAATTTGAATTATTTCTGCGACCGTAACGTGTGTCGCGAAATCAGTAACTGTCGTAATAATTCAGTTGAGTTTCATGTTTTGTGCTATATCAGTCACGCTTCTGCGGTGTAGCAGCTGTCACAAGAAAATATGGCCGCTCGTTACATACTATTTCCATAAAACAATAGTATCGGCCAGTTACCGCATTCAGTGGTGCAATTGACAAGGTTTTATATCTGTTTTATCAAGCGTTACTTGAGAACAACATATTTTTAATATCAACGATCTAAGTTAAAATAATTGAATTAATTCCTGCTATCCTTACACGGTTAAATATTAAAGGATAAAATTTAAACTAATATCTTAAGTTAAATAATATTTTGTTATTCTTAATTACCATGTGTGTCAAAATTCATTATTTTAACATAAAACAGTACTATTTTAACTCCATTTGGTTTAGTTAAAGTAACGACATATTGAGCAGGAGCAATGACAACTAATAGGAATAATAAAAAGTGACTAAAATTGAGCATAATTTGACACTACGAATTTAACAGTATATTGCATAACTCGATTATGCAAAAAATATAAAAATTAATATTATAATAACCACGTCATATACATATATCATCAAATAATTACATTATTCTTCGATGCTAGTATTTCAATTATGTTTTTGATGATAATTCTAACTATATAACAATATATAATTCACGAATAATGTTACGTGAAGTAAACGTTGTATATTTAAAACCTGCATCATAAAAATGTAATTATAATCTTTTTTTCTCTTTATTGCATATTATAAATGACAATTAATATAAAAGAGCATATAAAACTACATTAGCATTAAATACATGTTCAAATTAATGTCAATCAACCTTGTCGTACTCATGCTTCTTAGTTAAACGCGTGCCTTCGTCGGAGCCATAATTTTCGTAATTATTATGAAAAGAATTTTCACCTTTTTTCTTATTGTGACCCTGATCGCGGTTCTGTATATGCCCTTTATCGTAAAACCCCTTTTTTCCATTATTTTCATTATCAAACCCGGATACGTGATGTCCACCTTTTTTGAAATTGCCCTCGGCAGCGTTATAGTGCTCATCAGCAATGAAGTGCTTGTCGAAATAACCTTTCTTGTGATTCTCATCATAGAAATCAGTATGTTTTTTATATTCATCCTTGTGGTAGACTTTATGAAAGCCGCTGGTCTTTTGTCCCTTTTTGTGGTACGATGTTTGCCCATAGCTGCTACCCTTCTTACCACTCTCAGTTTCATCGTAGCGTCCATAATTTCCGGCTACGTCGCTGTGCCCTTTTTTGTGCCCAGTTTCGATGTCATAATGTTCTGAAAGATCCAGCAAAAAGTAACATCTCACTTGGAGAATAAATACATTTATGCAAAAATATACATGTTTAAACGCGTATCGAGGAAATCAATGAACGTCTGTTGAAAAAATAAACAAAGCTCCACCTTGGTGCCTGCTTTTATCGTGCTGTCCGCGTTCACCCACGTCAAATTCCACTTGTTTGTTGTACCCTTTGTCGCCCTTTTCTCCATGAGCGGAATTCTGTGCGGCCGAATACTTTTCACCATGTTCGAACGAAACGTCGATATCTGAACGAGATTTGTCGAGGCCGTGAATAGGATGGGTTACTATAAAATCAACTGCTTTTTCGCGACTTTCAGGCACATGACTTTTTCCCTCCTTTTTATCGCCGTCCTCATCGTTGTCATAATCGTCGTCCTCATTCTCCTCATCATCGCTTCTTTTATCGACATTTTTATCCGTTTCGCGTGGTTTAAGTGCTTTAGGCGCATAATACGGTGCACGTGCAGCCAGTTTAGACGGCTCAAGCGGTTGCGCGTATTTCGCTAATTGGCCCACGCCATAATTAATGAATCCATCGCGCCGGTAAGGCTGGCGCGTTACGTACGGTACAATTTCGTGTTTCGCAGTCGCATACGCGAGCAGAACGGGTTCGTGCGACGACGCAGTTTCAGAAACGGCGGGCGCAACAGGTGCAGGACTGCCGACGATGTAATGCACTGGCGCCGGTGCATGGTAGTAACGTCCGCTTCCGTGATTGGTATACCGCATGTATAAGACCGGAAGACCCCCCTGCTGATTGTACGCATACCCGCTCGCAGAGGTCTCGAGATCGGCCATTCTCATCTTAGAGACCATCATATGTGCTGTCCTCGTCGATGACGCACCATTGCCGGGTATACCGGCGAACAGCACGGCCATCACCAAACTCGCAATCATGTTAACGCAAATCCCTCGCCCTCGTAAACACACCACGCCGGATAATAATCGTTATTACGTCTCGTGGCCGAATTGTCCGACACTGTTGTATCCGTTTGTCAGCGTTATCGCTTTATATACGCACGCTAGAAGGACAAGTTAATCCTGCCATCGTGTAAGTGACACACTGCTAACGACATCGACAGTTTCATGGTCGCGTCGGTGCTTCAAATGCAGAGCGCATTATTAACGGTGTATTTCTTTCGCCACGACATTAGTCAATATCCCGTTGGGGTTGCGTAATAATTCAATGAAGAATTCCTCATCGATCGAATCCACGGAATAAGGTATCCGGAGCAGTTTAAGTTGACGTTCTCGGCCGCGAAAAAATAAAATTACGAAACTAACGATCATTCGATTCCTTTTGTACGGATTGCAACACTGTTGGAAAATTTTTGTAGGTTTGTTAAAAAAGGTCCTTAATTGTTAAAATTTTTGTGTAAAATAATCAACACATACATATGTAGATTTAACATATGCCTGCTATGTTAATTGAGCTTAACAAATTTAAAATGTACAATTATTAAAATAATTTAAAGAATATGTTAAAGTAACACAATTTGAACGTATTTATTAAATGTGTTAAATTTTACAGAAAAAGAATGCTGATTTTACTCTATAACAGAAGTGGAAATAAAAATTTACAGAAAAAGAGTGTTGATTTTATCTTACAATCTTAACTTCAACATAAAAGTTATGTTAATTGTATACCTACACATAATTAACGTCAAATTACGATCAGAATTACATTTCTTTTCTGTTGAAATATTTTAACATAATATCGGTGTTACCATTTGACACATCCATATTATGTTAAATTAACCCAAAAATTTGAGTGGACCATTTTGGACATACAATTTACGTTATATTTAACATAAATTTTCCAACAGTGAAGGAATATCTAGTATTTCACAACATTTCTGCTCTCTGAAACTGCGATCTAATCCCACGAGTTTACTTTGCATCACTGATTGACTATAGTACCGTAAACCGCCGTTGATCTTGAATTGTGGCTATACGCTACGCTAGATACGCTAAGGCCATGTGAAATCGATGGTCTTCGGTTCGGCCGAGCGATTGTCGTGCAATATAAAAGAGCTGGTATTATTGCGCGATTATTACAGTACATGCCGGCGCGTTGCCACATTAAAAGTCCCTCTGTCTCGTGCCTGGTCTATTTACCGAAGTAGATTCGAACAAATTCGTGGACTAAATTGGACTACCCGGGCTGCTAAACAACGGGGACTTCCACAAAACAAATGAAGATCTATGCAGGATGGTATGCCGCTTGCGCCGTGCTCTGCGTTTGCGCGTATCCGTCGAGGGACCGACTTAACGAGATGTACATTAGCAGCACGTTCAATCCAAAATCAATAGCTAATGGCTATGGCTTCGAGGAGCAGGTATCCGCGACTAAATTGTTTGAGATCCTCGAAGATAGTGAAGAGTTTGAGGAGAAAGGGCCGTCGACGATGAGAGCGATCGTTACGAGGGCAAAGAGCAACCCGGTCTTGCTACCCTTGATTATAGAACCTGAAGCGGAAATGTTACCGGTTGGTTATAAGGGCGTGAAGTCGCCTGGGGTCACCCACATGGAGTTTGCGTTTGCGAAACCGCAAACCAGATTAAAAGGTCGCAAAAGTGCGACATTAAGAGCTTCGGTGACGGACGACGGGAACTCCGGTAAATCCGGCGGATTTAATCGAGATAACGACGCACATTACGCCGCGTCGAAGCACGAGACGCAAGTCGCAAGAGATGATCGCGGTACCGACAGCCTCGTCGTTTTCGAAGTAGGTGCAAAGGGCGACACGAGAAAGGAGAACGAGAAGACGGAGCATGCCGAAGACGCCGGCACGAGTGAGAGCCATTCCAAAAACGAGGATCGTGCGAAGAATCATAAAGAAGAAGTCGTGAAAAAGAACGGAGCTACCCACGAGGTCAGAGATAGTCGTGAGAAGGCTCGTAACACCGCCGGATATCGCAACGTTTATCATAAAGATGAGTTCAAAAAGGACGCTGATTTCTACAGTAACGGGCGTCAGGGTGGACACTTTGAGAAGCACGGTCGATACGGCGAAAAACACGCCGCTGCTGAAGGCAAATACGCGAAAGGCAAGACTAATGGTTCCAGATTCGAGGTGGAAGCCAACTAGCGGAGGAAGTTCGAAGAAAAGACGAGAGACAACCGAGAAGCCCAAGGTCACTCTAAGACGGACTCCTCGGGAACTTGAGTGGATTCATAAAGCAGACAGGCTTAACGAAAGGTTGAAAGTTTGCTTTCAGCAACGACGCGACGGCCCAAGTTAACATATATGATACCCGCGTGAGTTACAATTGTAGTCGTTAATTCAGAGATAAATACAAAAATATTCGGACAAATGTACATTATTCAAATATTTAATGCGCATGCATTTATCGTATTTTACCTCATATTTTTCATATTTGCACACACACGTTGTGCGTTTAGTAAAATATATAAAATTATATAAACGTAAATTCTGTTCTTTCTATCATTTTTATATTTACTCAGTTGATTTTTTACAATAAATCGATTAAAGACAAACATATTATTTGTTATTTTAATATTACCGCAGTTTTATAATTTCTTTTCCTAGCTCGATAATGTTTTTATTACATTTATTATTTTGCCGATTTTTTATCTAGACATAAAATTTTTTTAATTGGCAATCATAATTGGAGACTCGACAATTTTAATTTTCTGCTTTCTCAAATTTATCATAACGCAGCGATCCCAGTTTTATTTACGCAACCGATACTGATGATCGAACATGACTCAACGATAATCGCATTCGGCCCAGCGGACGGTTAATGGATATTAAACAATACTCGCATTATTGTGCCGATAAATTGCAATCTTTCGCGAGTGGTCCTGCCGCGAAATGAAAATCAAGGCACATAATTGATACATATACGAGTCGTTGTATTTCCCTCACATTCTCATTGCGGGCGAGCGCACACCGGGGTCCGCGAGGGCATTCCACTTCGGTAACGTATACCTATCGGTCTCGTACCAACTCCGCTGTAGTCTGACTATACGATATATGTATAAAGCCCGCATCCCCTTCGTGGCTCAGTGAGCTCGGGTTCCCCGCATTCATCAACAATAAGCCGCAGCACCTACCGTCCTCGCATACGTATCTGCGAGTACCACCTTATATACGTACGTGTGTATATTCGCGCGTAGCTACGACCCTTTCATACACACGCCGCCGTCGATGCGTATATATACGTGCACGCACGCGATGCTTGTATTATATGTATCTGCCGGTTTATGTACACGGTGTATATAAAGGTGCATGTATATCGGAAGCGGTGGAACGCGGCGCGAATACATAAATCAGATGCCGCTCTGCAGGCTGCCACCCATATCACTTCGTACAACGGCCATGAATGAATAGAGCCGTGTTTGAGTTATCGTCCGACCAGGTCTTCCAGAAACTGCGGAACGCCGGCGTTAAGTTTTACCGCCCGGAATGCTTCTTAATGGAAGTAAAACGCGAACCCGTTCTCCTTTAACTGTTGCATTGAATTTCTGTAGAATTTGACGTGAAATTCAAACAAAGTAACAATGAACGTTATCTAATTACATAAATTGTTTTATTTCGGTATTTTGTTCGTAGTTCGATAAATGTTCTCGCGAAACCTCGACGCGTACGTAACGAACGTCAGCTCTCGGATAATTTACGTCAAAGAAGTAGATCTGACAGTTTGCCTCGACGGCGACGTTTTACCCCGAGAAGAAATGCAATTTATCTTCTGATAATCTCCAATCCTTCGAAAGCGGACGTTCGCTTCGTATCTTGTTCTCCTTCCTTTTTATTTGACCGTCGCACGTCCGATGCGCTCGTGCGATTCTCCGAGAACGCCTGATTTCGGGGATCTGATCGCTTTTCCGCGATAGTTTATTGTCACCCGTTTATCTTCACTGTGAGAAAAACCTTAGCAGTGAAACAGCAGGAAAAGTCTACCAAAAACCATATTCTGGAGGCGTTTGTTTCGCAATTTGTGAATAACATGAAGTACGCAATTATCATTAAAAAAAAAGTGACAGAAAAGCGTGGTCAGCGTGGAGTATATCGTAGAGAATAAGCAAAGAAACGTAAATAATATATTTAATTTATCATCAAACACGTGTAGTCTCACGAGTTATCATTTATTATTAACGTGCCAAAAGAATCTAAATAAAGGGCTTTCGGCTTTATATGCCGCTCGTATTATATTTCATATCATACATAAATAAACGAACCTAAAAATAAGGAAAATGGAAAATCACACGTAAAATATCAATTGACGTCAATTCGGCAAATCTATTGTGGAATGTATACAGATACGAGGTGTGTTGCATAATTTAATAAAGAGTTGCCAAACGGAGTAGGCATTTACGGAGTATATATTTTAAGAGAGGTCACCGTGTGGCAAAAATATGATATCGATTTTGTCAAGATTGATTTGCCCAGTTGCAAGATGCATGATATACGAATCGCACCTTAGCATATTTAGAAATCGAGAATATTATTTGCGCATTGCGAAGCGAAATTATACCGTAAGTGTGCTTCATGAGAAATCTATATTTCATAAAAATGTCATATAAATGACAGTATACGCTATAATGCAAATTTTAACAAACATTTGCTTAATCTGTAAAATAAATTGTAAGTTAAATTCTACGAGTGCTAGTTTTACATTTTCTACAAGATACTCATTGAAAAGGCTAAATACTCAAATTCTTTATGTCTGATTTATTATTTACTATAAAAGCAAAATTTCATATTATATATACATGTACATAAACATATATATATGTAATAGAATCCACCAGATACAATTTACAAGACACGACTAGCTTTTCCGGTGGACTACGACAGAGTGATGACTTTCATGAGCGATGCGTTCTATAAGGATGACCCAACCATGGTGAACATTGGTTTGGACGAACAGGAGCCCGCGCCGTCATTGCTAAAACTTATGTACAATGAGCTCCGAGAGGGTATGACGATAATTGCTGAGGGAGAGGACAATTGTATTGTAGGTGCCGCGGTGAACGGTGGCTCCTGTCCTTGGGATCCCGACAAGTTCGTCGAGTTCGCTAGATGTTGCGAATGCGGACCGACCCGCGACGTGATCGAGTTCGAGGCTTACGTGACCAGCAAGCCGAATCTCTGGGAGCGCTATTGCGTTCTCAAGATCTTCGAGTGCAGCTATCTCGCGGTCAGGCCGGACTTCCGGAACCGGGGTATTGCTAGAAAGCTCGTGCTAGATAGCTGGTATCTTGCGCGCGATTGTGGCTATCGATTGTTCCGTGTTGACTGCAGTAATAGGTGAGTCCAACTGGCTGACCGTGGAATTCTGGTTAGGCTACAGGCGCGTAAGGAATGCGAGTCGTTTCGGCGCGGTTCGCTCGCCTCGGCGGAATCTTGAGTAATTTTCGCGACGGGTTGCGTCAACGAGAAAGATTGCCCGACTATATCCGTCCGTATATCACACGTTCAGCGTAACTGTTACCTTGTAATTCAAACTGCCTGGAGAGCTCGAGACAGCTGACGTATGGCTTCGTGTCGTATTAAAAGAATAACGATCGCATTAATTAGGATTATCATAGCATGCGATGATTTGAAGCATTTCTCAGCGTGTATGAGCGTGTTATTCGATACAAAACATTATCTATCGTCTCCTTGCAGTCATACGTTACGCGAATAGGATCGCAACGTACATACAAAATTAAATTGACAGATTCACACAGATATTAATCTGAAGTCTGATAGCCTATCGCATCCATTACAGATATATCGCACAGATCGCGGAAGGTTTTGGATGGAAACGAGTATGCACAATACCTTTTCATGAATATGTAAAGAATGGCAAACTCGTTTTTAAGCATATTAAGGAGCCACATACCGAAGTGCAGATTTACATTGATCAAGTTACATTTTGCAAGGATTATTGTCCACCTTACAACAAATGCAAAATAACATCAGCGCCAAAAATATCTAAAAAAAATAGCTAATAATGCCTTAACAATTATATCTGCATAAGCTTTAGTCGCCTCATCAATAAAACGTTAATAAATATTTTATAGAAATGTCATACTGTGTATATGTTCATATCATAAACCTAGCCTTTTGTGTCTTGTGCCCTAGTCGCATTGTGAGAATAATTTGTAAGGAAATTTATACATTTTAAGTATAATGTACTTTCTTCGTACGATATCAAATTGCTAAAGTAAATGTTTATAATCCGGTAGTTAATTACGTACGTATGTATTCTCTATTTTTGCGATATTGAAACAAATAGAAAATAAATTATAATAAAAAGGTACATCGTGACAATAAAGCGCCAGTATACCTATGCCTCCGTAGTCTAAAACAAAGTTTTTCTTCACTTTGATGACATACATCGATTTCACAAGTACTAATCCCGACAGTTGAGCTTATTGGAATAGTCTGTCAGAGCCGAGAACAGTGATTGATGAGTTCAACGGTAGCTTATCCCGCGAGGAAACTCCTTTGAGTACGATTGAATAATACATAGCGGCGCGCAAATGAAATTCCCGATATTTGACTTCTAAGCTCTACCTCTCGAACGAAAGCCCGGCGGCTAAACTTCTGCTGCCTGCGAAATTACGATTGCTCGGAGTTGCGAGTGTACCGTACTCGGTTCCCAAATTTAAGCGGAAAGAGACGGATTCTCTTTTGCGTCTGGAACGTCTATCGAGTCTTCCCGAGAAGGGGATTCCATAGAATCCGTAATTGCCTGCCAAACAGGACTAGGCCATTCACCGATAAACTACCGTCATAAAACACTAATGATCTGTGGAACGAATTCTATCGTGTGTACGCAAGGTAAAACTGAAGTGTGTTTGAAAATGATAATCGAATTGTCGCGGCCTGGGATAATCTATCGTCAATTACGTTAACTCATTTGTGAAACAATTTAGGACAGACATTGATCATCCATGATCTGTTGTTACTAAACCTACGTAAAATAAGTAAACCAAAATATTATCCTCAAACTCCGAACAACAATAACAAACCAATAAAAAAAAATGAAAAAAAATGTTTAGACAATGCAATATTCATAAATGTTTCGTTTAACTTATAATAACCAATTGCATAAGTTTTTCATACATTCTCATGACTAATCGTAAAAAAAATTATGAACTAAACATATGATTATAAGAAATTCATAAAAGTATATTGTATAAAAAATCTAAATTATACAGAGAATCTGCTATTATCTGATCGTTTTTGTATATTTCACAGTTATGTTCGATTATACTTAAAAAGTTACAATTTATACCTTTCAATTGTCAACGTAAACGCGTAATACAAAACTTGGATTGTTAATCTAAGTAAAGAAAACAAATTGGAAAGTTCATAAATACAATACAACTGTGATAGCTTATTAAACAAAACTGCTTTTAAAAGTAATATTTACTTTTAAAATTATTTTGCTAATTTCTAACTTAAATAGAAACTTGTTTCCACCAAGCTCTCCAATACATTCGCGATATTGTAAACGATAACGTATTATCATAATACAAAATGCCTACAACATAATTTGTTAAGAATTCATGAAAGTTAGATACATCATCATCCTCGTACAGACAAATTCGTTTCCTATAATGCATATGATGAGGTCGCCACAACAATTTGTTTCTATTTGAGATTGAGTTTCGTAATTATCGTTCACTGCATTAATCGTTATAAAATTAAATCTTCCACGATTGTATCATAAATTGCCTTCAGCATTAAATGGAGATAAAACGGATAAATTGCTGATAAAAAGGAAAGCGCCGGAGGTGATTCTCGTCCCAGATTTCTTGTCAGACCAGTTTCTTACGTAACATTTCGATTTTTAAGTCAGAATTTATATAAAAATTGGAATTTTTGAAAGATCTAAATATCTCATAATGCTATTATGTATAAGATTTTTATTTCAAATGTATTCTCATCTAAGCGCATCTATATATGTATGAAAAAAACATTTTGTCAAATATAACATTATTTTTACTAAATTAAATCTATATATATGTATAGTAAGCATAAATATAAACCTTGCAAATTAGCCAGTATTCTCTGTTGGCATGTTCACGATAATCCATATTCGCATTAACACGCGCCCTTGTCAGAGGCTAAGAAATGGATAGGACATGGCCAAGACAGATTACAATTCAAGTAGAAACTGTTCGGACCTCTCAAAAACGATCTCGGGCCGATCCCGGAGCCGTAATGATTAATGGAGGTAGGGAGCTACGCGCAGTTTCGTAATACCGTGGCAACTATCGAGTTGAAATTACAGTTAAGAAACTGTGCGGGGTGAGTTAGCGGAAAGACCGTCGTTGTCTTGGTCGAGAAAAGATTCCCATCGTCTCTGTTTGGTTCCGCAGTCATCCGATCACGTACCAAGCTCGATTCGATTTTTATTTGACGTGCACTAGAAATGCATTTAATACACGTGCTCGATGCGTGCCGAGCGCTCGTGCATCGACTAAAGATAAACGTTTTCCACTGACCATTACGGCGATAAACTCGTCCTTGTATTGTCATGCCATTATACACGTGTGCCAAATCCCTATCTATGGAACTAAAAAGTAAATTTGAGTATATCTGAACGCAGATTCTGATGGTTAGATTCATGTATTTTCTTAATTGCTACCTATAGCAAACTCTTGCTGTTTAACAGACTATTTTTTCCCTGATATTTTAGATTAATATTCTGAATTTTCGTTGACATCCCGGGTTCATAAGTCGATGAAGAATCTGGTGAATATCATATTGAAATTAAGTTGAGATCATATGCAAATCAATAATCAATTTAATATTTTGAAGATTTTATCGCAATATCTGGAAAATATTATGTAGATGTCGACGATCTAGTCATCATTCAATTGATATCATATACTGAAGTTGATTAACTTCTCCATATATCGACTTGACTTGAATATGATATCTACTACACATCAACTAAATCCCCAATAATTGATCGACACTTATACGATATCTTCTATATGTCAAATCGATATGTATACTTCTATAGATGTCGACTATACGTCGATAAGTGATCGACAAAATATTATGCGGATCTGTTACCATATATTTCAAGAGACTGTATTCAAATAAGATGCGACTATGAATTTTTATATATTCCTTGTTCTTTATTCCTCTCATTGTGCATGGGCCCTTACGGTACACCATCTACCTACAATGGAATATCTACTAGATATTACTCATATATCAACTAAATATTAATATGATATTGAAGAGATATCTTCCTGATCTATCATTGGTTGTAACATCAATCTAGCGTTGATACAGTGTCGATCCTCGTTCAAAGATCAATAGAGAATCTAGTCGTTATCAAATCAAACGGTCCGAAAAATTATGATCGACATCGATTTAATCATCGACTTGTGAACCCGGGCAACGATACAAGAGAAACAGTTTCGCGACGTAATACGTACTATTGCAGTCAACATTCAGCTAGACTCTCAGATAAAGTCAACTTAATCTGCATACAGCGCGTGCACATACGAGTAGGTACGTCTGTACACGAAACTATGCGTTATCGTAAACACCACTTCGAGTAATTTCACTAATCGCAGCAATTGTGTGTTCGCTGAATTGAAATAGTTCGATATGAGACTTCCAGTCTTACTTCTTTCGCGATTGTAACCGTTTGTGTCGGCGTTAGTCTCTATCAAGGATTCCGTAGCTGCAATATCTCCATCACACGTCTCGGTACTTTCTAGTCTAACTTTTAAACGGGATTCAATCATATTAACCAGCGTTTATTTCTAATCAATATCGTGGAAACGTATAAGTTACTCACGAATATCGTTTTCAATATATCCTTCCAGTCCGCGCAATCTTTCGCATTACGTTTTTTACTTTATAGACGGCAATTTCAAACATTCGATAATTTTTCGAAATATTATATACGTGCATGGAAGTATTATATACGGAGAAAAAACGCACAAAACGCATTCCGCGTACAGCTAGGACCAGACTATGCGCGATTCGTAATTCGTAGAGATTCGTTGGATATTCGGGAAGATTCATTACTTGCTAGTGTTAACAAATTACGAATTACGAATTACGAATCACGAATTGCGAATACGCGCGTAGTCTGGCGCTAGCTTACGAGGTAACAATTAATACCGGTTATATATATATATCTCATAATAATTACAGAAAAACCTTTCTCTAAATATATTAACAAATTCTTACATAATAATGAATCATATGTGTATGCTGCGATTAGTTTATATGCGATTTGCTTACAGCTTAAATTAGTCGTTAAATTAATTCATATATGTGTATAACTGTGCATAATTTCAGTGGCAGTATTAAGCGCGATTCCATTATTCTTAATTCGTAGATACGAACTGAATTAAAATCCGATCAACCTTGAAGTCATCGCACCAACCTTGATCTTTTAAATACTTAAAAACGGCATTATGCGAGACGGAACGAAACAGCATCATAATATTTTGTCTTTTCTCAAATCGTATTTTTAATTTCAATGCTGTTACTATCAAACTTTGGTATAATAAATATTACAGATAAGTGTTGTAAATTGACAAATAAATCCCGATCTACGGACAAATCAGTCTTTCCTTTCACGCGTCGAATATATATAGATACTACCGATGCACCATGTTCGCCATGTTTTCAGATGCAACAGACAATATTAATCGGTAAAAGAATTGGATTTCGCTGTCTCGCAGTTCGCTACCCTTCTCCTACTTCGTTTGCTCTTTTTCGTTGTGATATATTGAAGTCTAGATGTGAAAAATGCAAGCAGCCTGGATTCAAAAAGACGGAACTTATTAAATCGAAATTGAAATTCATTAAAATTGACGTAATTCCAATAAGTTCAGCTTCATAATTAAATATATAATCGAATATACAATCGACATAAGCACAATTGTGTATTTTTATCTATCACAGAAAAGTTGTAGAAAATGTTATCAATTGCCGCTATTATGCATTTGTTACTAATTCAGTTGTTCACATTTCAAAAATAACTAAAAAAATAAAAATATATTTGCGTCGTAAAAACCTCTTAAATGGTCACGAATTATGCTTACATATAGTATTCTTATCACGTCACATACTAAATCTGAACCAGTAAAAAGTCACTGAAGTTGCTTTACTTATCATTAAACGCATCAGTGACTATCATTCACTGATATCAGTCTAAAGTATGCCATTTCAGTGACTCATTCAAATTTAGAGAGTATACGTGTATTTGTAGTAAAAATAGTCGCAATAATGTTATATCACATTTATTAATTTATATTACATTTAAAATAGTAGCAAAGACGAGACATTTGATATATAATTTTTTCATTTTTTTTATGTTTTGGTTATATACGCTTGTATAGTAATAAAATTCGAAATATCAAGTTATTTTTATATTTGAAACGGAAAGAGTCAAGAGTTTAAATACTAGTATTTCATGCAACACAAAAGAATAATGCATAAAATTTTGTTTTACAAAATTGGAAAAGAGAAAAATGCAAAATATCACGTTGACCAGTTACACGTTTTTTTACTTACAATGTTAGTCACAAGTTATATGCATTGTCTAAAAAAAATTATGTATAATTATGCAATTATATAATGACGTAATACAATAATCATAGGAAAGACTATAACTTATGCTTGTTATATGACAATCTAAGCTTGTAATTATATAATGTAATTATATAATTCTAACAAAAAATTTAGTTATGTTAAAAAATTTTTATTACGTTAACCAAATTTTGTGTTATATTAATTAAAGAATTTGTTTGCTCATATTCAACCAAGGCTATAGTTGATTCAACAAAATGGATTTCTCAGTGTAAGCTTATCTAATTGTAAGGAATATTATTCCTTAGATAAGCTTAGAAAGCTTTCAGACGACATTATTTAGTATTGAAGTTCTCCTTGAAGTTTTCTTTGCAAGTAATTATTCTAAAGTTGAGTTATCTGGTTTTAATATCACATTCTTCTTCTATAATTCTTCTATAAATTTCTCAATATATGTATACATCCTATTATTAATATTCATGCCGTTAATACTTGCCGCGCAACAACATAAATTAAGACGAAAATACGAAAACATTCCACTTCGACGGAATCTACATAACGCCATTCGTGCGTTTTACAAAGTTCAGTCTGAGCACATCTCTTCTTCGGGCAAAACCGTGCACCACATTGTCGTTATTGAATATTAGTGATCCTACTGCGGAGGATAATTACAATAATCTATATATCTTATTAATAACGTAAGTACATATAATCTAGTTTAATCGAGTGCTTTATAGGATAATTAAAATAACTTGTGTCTTTTAACAACGTATAATCTGATTTAGTCGAGTGCTTTATAGAATATAAATAATCAAACTAATATTTCTTCTTTTATACAAAAAGGAAATGTAATTTTACGCGTGTATTGTATACACAATATGTAAAAAAGACATTAATTATTGTAATGTCGATATTTGTATTAATTTTCGTGATCTGATCTTTCCATACAAAAATTGATTTTATATTATTTCAAAAGATTATGTCAGAAAACAAAAATATTATTTAATATAAAAATATTATTTAATTCGCACACATATAATACTTATTTTACAATTTTCCAAGTGTAAAATAAATTTATTGTGCTTTGTCGGCATGCATATAGTATGTACATATATATTATAGTAGCCAAAAATTAAATATATATGTATAATCAGTGTTTTTCTTGTTCTACAGGATGAGACTGATTGTTGGTATCTCACCAATTATTACGATTCTATGGATTTTGATTACGAGTAATCTAGCATGCAGCAAAAGGCTATTGATCATTACTCCAACTCCATCCTACAGTCATCAGATAGTATTTCGGGCAATATGTCTTGCTTTGAATAAGCGGGGACACGAGATAGTAACATTGACTCCTAATATTTTAAATGATACTAGCGTGACCAACTATACGGAAATAGACTTCGGTTTTATATATGAAAAAGTTGATGACACTGATATAAGTCAGACCCGTTGGAATCTCACACAATTGGCAGGATTAAAAACGAGGTTACTAACACTGGGTCATAATATCGCGGAGGAAGTCCTCAGCCATCCTGATCTCGTGGAATATCATAAAAATGGAACCGATGTGCAATTTGACGCGGTAATAGCGGAGATGATTATGACTCCTGCAACCTACATGCTGGCGCACAGATTTAATGCACCTTTAATAGGTGAGGTTAAATAAAATTATGCCGTTATTATACTTAATCATGTCGTGTATTATGTAACAGCTATACGAACGGTGTTACTCAACGAGTTTTATAACCTCAGGTATCATGTCTATGGACTTGCAAAACTGTCATCGTTTCACTCACGGTAGTCCCGTGCTCCCATCGCACCCCTCGAATTGGGAGCTTGAAAGTTTCGCAGGATTAGATAAACCATTTTGGAGGCGATTGGTGAATTTCATAAATACTTGGTGGAACATATATTCATGGTTTAATAATTTCGCGAACAAACAACAAAAGATCGCCGAAAAGTATTTCGGTAATGATATACCGCATATCACCGACGTTGAGAAGAATATGAGTCTCATCTTGATCAATCAAGAACCTTTGCTTGCATACGCCAGACCCGAAATACCTAATATCGTTCACTTCAGCGGATTGCACATCGCAAAGACGCCACCGTCGTTACCAAAAGTAAGACTTTATAATAATTATTAGTATTAAAATTCTATTTCATATCAATCAATCTTGCACGCTTTTAACGCATTAAACACAATTAAGAAAAATATATCTTCATAAAATTTACTGTCTACAGGATTTAAAAGATTTCCTGGACAATGCGACAAATGGTTTCGTTTATATGAGTCTGGGATCAAACACGAAAAGCAAATTATTGCCGAAGAAAATACTGGAGGTCTTTGCGAACGCTTTTTCCAATTTGCCGTATAAAGTACTGTGGAAATTCGAGAATGATAGCTTTCACGTTCCTCCCAACGTTTTTATCTCGAAATGGACCCCACAACAGGGCGTGCTGGGTAAATTAAAACAGACAAGCCGGCATTTTATAAAAATTAATACCGGGATTATTAATCGTTTCCTTGTCCTTATTTCAGCTCATCCGAACATCAAGCTCTTCATTTATCAAGGCGGACTGCAGAGTACCGAAGAAGCGGTTCATTATGCCGTCCCGCTCTTAGGACTACCGTTTGTCTTCGATCAGGTGTACCAAGTTACGAAAATGGTTTCTCTGGGAGTTGCAAGATACCTAGACATAGTCCAGCTTACGACGTCGGAATTGCACGACGCTATACTGGAAGTCGCCGATGATAAAGGGTAATTACGATGTCAATTATTAGTACACGCGCCCGTATACTGTATGTATGTACGATAGTAATCGTCTCGTAATCGTAATGTGGATAGAGAGACGATAGTGATATTTACATATAATAACTAACATGCATATATGTATATATTTGGTGCACTGTTTGCAGGTACAAAGATAGGATGTTGGCGCTACGTGCTCTCACAAAGGACAAGCCTTATGATAGCTTAGAGAATGTTATATGGTGGATTGAGTTTGTAATGCGTCACAATGGCGCACCTCATTTACGTTTCAATGGAGTCGATACCGCGTGGTATCAGCAATTCGATTTAGATATCATTGTATTCTTGACGATAACATCATTTTTAGTTTTATGCGTTATTTTATGCATTGTAGGATGGGTTTCAAAGCAGTTATATACAATTCATATGAACCATTGCATAATACATAAAAAGATACAATCGTATAGAAAGAAAAAATTGGCGTAATGAAATTGTATAAATTTAAAAAACATTTAAGCCATTATTAACTTTTTTTCCCCTATATTCGTCTGTATATGAGCTTGAGCATAATTTGGTTTAGCGATAGAATTGTTTTCAAAATGCCCAAACTATGCGAAATGGTCATGGAAGTGTACCTCTTTTATCCCTCGAGCATTTGCATGTGAATTTTACAATGCTCATTTATACGAAAAATAGAGAAACATGGAAGTCGGGGTAAGTGAGAGAGGGTAAATTTCGGTATAGAGAAGAACGTGAATATAAAACTTGATGCGTTGAGTGAAATGAATTTTGTAAACGCACAAAATTACATCCCGAAGTCTATTATGCTCATTTGCGCGTACTCATAGAATTACGAGATATAAAAAGTAAGAGAAGACTAATAAAAGATTTGAAAAAAGAACAATTGGAGAGGCCAATAATTGCATTTTACAATTCTATAATTCTATGCAGATATATACGCATACACAATCATCGTACATTCGATAAATTCAAAACTTAATTAGTTTCGGCGCTAAGTGTCAGATGTTATTGTTAACATGACCGATGCGTTTCGAATATCCGGTTAATGAGGCTCCCTTTGCCGCCGGTCCGCGCATCCATTTGGCAGATGGACCTAATTCAGAGTGCAAGGATCCATTAACACGTATATTCGCCCCAAGGAATGTATAGCACGATAATGTATACGATGCTAATATCGCACACATACACAGGGCCAAACACCGTCGACCAAGCATACGTATTCTACGAACATTGTAGCAACAATTAGGAGGCCCCTTTGCCATTGCGGAATACATATCTACGGCTATTTCAAGTGTCTGTGTGAAACCTACGCGAATCGCGAACACGTACACAGGTACACAAATACACGTGGCACCGATGACTATGGCATTCATCGCCATTGTAACGTATAGTCGCATACACGCTACACTATTCCTGTCTCAAAAGTGAAACATTGACTAATCAAGATATCGATTAGATATTGATTTGACATATAATTGAAAAAACTTTTAATTTATTCAACCCCACACGGAGAAAATTTTATAGTAAATATTACTATGGTGTCGCACTAACTGCGGACCATCGAGGAATTTTAAGTTAAATTACTATGTTTATGGTAAAAATTACGTTATTTTATCGTTTTTAAAACAATAATTATAGTATTTTAACTTGAAATTCCTCGATGGTCCGCAGCTAGTGCGACACCATAGTAATATTTACTATAAAATTTTCTCCGTGCATTAATCAACTGCTATATAAAATTTAATTTAAAAATTTTTATTTATCTGCCTGTTCCCAATGTTAGCTAAATTTATATATATAGAAGCTTTTAGCGGCAAGAGAAAATAACTGAGGAAATAGATAATTAATGCGCAGAATGGTTTTTATAGCCTACGAATTTTCAGTCGATCTGGCGCGATTAACTCGAAAATGACAAACTCGGGGACCAAAAATAGCATGGGTTACGTAGCCCGCCGTAAATAACATTGAAGTCTATTTAAACTTTTTCAATTATTTTGATATCTTTTACCGACAGCGACCCTGAGACCGGCATCGGCCGCGTTATCGAAGCCGGAGGAGCGACGCGACGGTCTCCTCGTCTTCTCTCCGTTCATCTCTCGCGCGCGTCTCGACGACCGTTCGCGCTCACTTCCACTCTTGGCGAACGTTTCATAAATAAGCCTTTGTGCGACCCATCTGGAAATTGAATTGAAAAGTTCGTCTCGCCCACACCGTGGGAAAACTGAAAACGACACCGCGGCGCAGATCGGCGCGCACGACCGTCGACAACGTCAATTTTCTGGACAATTTTTCCCTCCGCCTCGCGCCGGTCCACCATCATCGTGGTGCGCTTCGTTTATTCGCATTCAACCGGTTGAAATCTCATTTATTACCCGTATGCAATTTTGCCCCGATGCTTTGCCGCGCCGCGCCGTCGAGCTACCGCTGCACCGGTAGTAGTAGTCGGTCGGCTTTTGCAACCGCGACGCGTCGTACGACGACAAAACCGTTCGCGCGCGAAGCGCGACGTAATTTCTGACGCGAATAATCCTCGTTCGCTTCAATTCGCTGTAGTAATATACGGAGTGATCCGGCCATTATCGTCAACACGGCTCGGTGTTTATTGTATTTGTCGTCGATGCTGCATCGCGCGCGACGATGATAATGCAATTCGTGATGTGGATGCAACGCTGACGAAGGCAACATCTCGCTTCGCGGTATGCGCCTCGTTTGCATTATACTTGTCGACTGTTAATGTAAATCTGATTTTCACGATACAACTGACTGATCGTCAGACGCATTGTGCTAAAAAACGATGATGCTGATGTACACCGATAGAAATTGTGTTCGAGCAAATTTTAATTAGTTTAGTTATTTATTTCGAGATACACTGATTCCGTAACTAAATAAGCTTAGTAAAAAAAAGTTATGTAGGTAGACAATATAAATGCTGAAGACACATACTTGAACTAAATATAATTTTTTCCAATTAAATATGTATATTTTTGTTATTAATTGCAGCATTTAAAAAACGGACTAAATGACATAGTTGTTTTTGTTACGGAAAAGAGAGTCTCGCGCTTTCGGTGCAGCTACTAAATTATCTCGAAGTTTCGGTGCTAATACGGTCTCCACAATGCGCTTTCTTATTAGTCTATTTTATTCCGTTCCACCTACAACGGCGAAGATTAAATGGATTCGCGCGGCAATTTGTGGATCGATAGATTTTAACGCACTTGGCAGACCTCGCCGAGCGGCATTGGACTGTTTCCAACCGGAACGTTCTGGAAATGTAGTTAGCTCGGTACGTAATTGGTATTCTTGACGCAAAAATTCATTTACGAAATCACTGAACATAAAAGGAGAAACGGAAGATATCTCAAATAAAAAGTACGAGCATTTAATTTCGTAAGCCATCCTAAATAAAAATCTTGATGCTTCGTTCAATTTTAATCCGACCATCTCTCACGCTCGTTTCTATTTGCATTTATCTCAGAACAAATATTTGACGTGTAACTAATTAAAAGATGTATCTCGCAATTAACCCCTGGCAAGGAAAGACAAACAATCGAGAGGGAGAGAGAGAGAGAGAGAGCGACTGAGCTTAATTTTATAAAATGATAATGTATCGCGATGGAAATGCCGCTGAGGAGCAGCGGTTAAATACGAGGACAGCATATAACCATCTCTACCACTGAAATGCTCAAAGCAAACTTTATACAAAACAATATAACAACTTACACTCAGTATCTCATTGGTGGAGATGTTTATGAGAGCTATGCATATGCTCTTCTATCCATTTACATAACTTTTAACTTTGCGGGCTGTTCCAAAGTTAAAGACTCTCTCCTGTCCCTCTTCCTTGATTTTTTTAAATCTACCCGCCAGACGAATGTAAATCTCTATCATGCAAATATAATTACGACTTGGTTCAGAATTTACCTTCACCGCACTAACGCAGGAGCAAATATTTACGAGCAGGTCGCTCGAAGAAATCATCAGCCGTGAAGGAAGTGCTCCTTCTTCCCTGCATTTTTGTCAAAATTTATTTAATGAAAAATATTCTATTATTTTTATTCATTTTTTTCTCTTTCTAATATCGAATATGTTCTTCTTTCTTTTTAACTTGCCCTGCCCCTCACTTTTCCTCCCTAATCAATCTTCTTTGTGTTATACTATCTTTTCATAACGAAGGAAATAATAGAAATGGAAGTGAGTAACTGTAAATACGACGCATTCTATTCTCGCTCCCTTTCCACCCTCACTTGTTCCTTCATAGTTTCAAGACGCGTAATACCCCGCGTACGCACATGGCTTCTGTGACTCTGACAGAGTGCCTTGTCTACTATCTGTAATTATACTGAACTTCGTGCCGAGACTGCGAGAACCTCCTATTCTGAGAACGAATTAAAATAAATCTCAGAGATAGCGCGACTGCTGGCTTGGCGGGCGAAAAAGATCTTGTTGGCTAACATAATAAGAGCTATTTATAGAACACTTTATGACTATCCTGGGAAATGCGAGAAAAGAATTCATACGAATTGTAAAAATTCAAATATTGCGGTTGGATGCTGTATATGTTGAATCATTTAATTTTCTGTCATATCTTAAGACAATTAAAGTAGATATAAATATAATGTACCTATGTTGATTTATAAAAGTGAAAAGAAAAGAAGCATTTAATTGTCTTAAGATATGACAGAAAATTAAATGATTCAACATACACAGCATCCAACCGCAATATTTGAATTTTTACAATTCGTATGAATTCTTTTCTCGCATTTCCCAGGATAGTCATAAAGTGTTCTATAAATAGCTCTTATTAACTTATATATATATATATATATATATATATATATATATGTATTCAATTATTTTTATAAACATTAAAAACATATATTTTAAAAGCTGTTCTTTATTCTTCTCTTTTCTACCCAATTCAAACTTGTAATTCATTAATTTAAAAAAATCGTGCTACATTTTGTACCTGTGTTTTATCCCACGTTGCAGCTAATGTCATTTTTCCAATAATTGCGATTAATACGTTTTACTTTTATTAACATTGATAAAAACTCAATGATGTATTCGTTAGTTTAAATCTCAAAATTAAAGTCAAATCCGGCTTTCAGGATGAAGAGCGGATATACTTCGTTTTAGTTTGACTTATTACTGTTTCACGCCGAGTTTGTAGTACCGAACGAGAAATAAAAATCCGGTTTAACGTTCCGAGCGGACTATTGGTTGCCTGGAGACAAATTTTTGCGCGATATTGGAATTCTCTTTCTTTCTTCCTCGTTCGGCTAATGCGATCTCGATAAAGAGAACAGAGGCAACGTTCGATCAAAGAGGTAGGGACGCGTCCCTTTGCCGGGCAGAAGGATGGGGTGCGCAATCAGGAATCCTTTCACTGTAACTTACAGAGATATAGCTGTCTCTCGTGTTGTATGCAAATCCATCTGTACTTGATTATTTCGATTCATCGTCGATAGACTCATCGACTGATCGAGCCGATCTAACGGAAAGCAGGCAGAAAGAGAATACTATACGCGAATGTTGCCAACGTTCTTTCGTCGTTAATAAAAGATCGCAAAACGATTGCCAGTAGGATTTGAACATTTCAAATTCACTCTAATGGAAACTCACGAAAAGCTTACACATATCTGCACACGTAAAGAGTTACTCTACTTACTCTAATTACATCCTTTGTATCTTAATATCTTTCGTCTTTTTCCGCGATATAAGTATATTAATATATAACTTATTCGCTACTGAGAATCCTAATTCAATTTATAATAAAATGTCGTAAATTCGTTACTATGACGGTCACCTTTGATACGGCATATACGTTCACCTAGATTCCGTCTAGAACGTTGCAGAGACTGCAAATTGTAATTGCAGGAAGCAAACAGAACGATAACAATAAGTGCTATAAGAATATACGTGGCTTAAATTCGAATTTTTGTAATTGAACAAGCGTATGTCAACCGGATGGGACAGTGGACGCGACTTTTCGTTTGCGACGCGTGCATACGACGACCGATTTCACCGGACTCAGTATGCGATTCTACACGGTTGTCCTTTATTGGCGGCTGCGGGCCGCGGCTTCGTCTACGAGAATCGCGCACACTCGTGTCAACACTCGCTCGTTGTTGTGCACCGTGGGAAATTGAAAATACTCGAAATTCCGTTGATGCGGTGAAACGTGATAACGTGTCTCCTGAATGCGAGAGTGATCCGCTTTTGGTGGCGGCAGGCTGCTAAAGTAACGGCGAAATGGCGCAATTGCGCGCGAGGGTCCCCCGTCCCGGCATTTCCGTTTGTATTTTTTGGTCATGCTCCGTAACGCGCCCGCATCCTTTATCGCTTCGCTCGGGCGTCTGACGCGCGAATTTGTTGCATTTTAAATAAAAGTCGGCGCGCGCCTGCGAATAATGCGATCCGCTACATTCATTGCCGAAGAAGGAATGCGCATCGATCAGCGCTAGAACGCCGAAACTTGTAAGAGCTTAGAAGCGCTGGTATATAGTCGAGATATATCGCATAGCGCGCACGTTTCTCGATTGGACGTTTAGACACGTTGAGTGGCAGGAACTCGGCTGAGGAAGGATCGACGGGAAGGAAGGATAGAGTGAGAAATATATAGGCAAGAAGTAATTCGGAGACGGGGTAACCCGGAGCCACTGAACTTTCTCGATTAAAAGTTAATTACCTTTCGGCTAAGACCGCAGAATTTCAATCGACGGACGAATAATTGTTCCACTGTGGATGAGAGCTACCACAGCGAGGCAATTAGCAGAATAAACATTTAATCTCGTCTCGCTCTGAATTTCTTGATGACGCTAATGTCAACGATAAATCGCGCAGCGCGCTGTGTTGAGGATTGCGGTTCTTCCGTATGTAAGCTTATAACGAATAAATATTATACATCTAGCGCGCAGATTTCGCAAATAACGTATACTCGAGCGCAATGCGTAAATTCTTAATTTACCGTAATTCTTTCTCGTACTTTTGACAGAATTGAGTGTGAAATTAAACCTATATATATTTTCGTGGTAAATATACTAGTGTTAGCGTGTTGTCTCGTTTCTTTCAACACAGGACCTGCTAAAACGCACTTCTCCCATGAAATCGCTCTTTGCTTCGAGAAACGGCCAGGATAAAGAGCCAACCAAAGAGTTTTTGCGGAAAAAGCTCCTCTTATTCGTGCAAACGCTTTTTATCCTTCGTCCGTACGAAGAAGCAACCGAAAACGACACAAAAGAAGCGGGTCTGAAAGGACCTTTCAGGAAAAGCTCGGTGGTGGTGGGCAAAAGGAACGATAGGTGCCGGGCGGAATAGTGCGAATGGGCGAACGAAATTCGTAAGATATAAGGGGAAATTAGCAGATACTGCTGGGATACGTTAAATTGAATAGGAATACCTTGGACGGAGCATGGAGTTCACGGAGGAGACATAACTCACTCGCAACTTCGGCTGGAAACTCATAGCCCGTACCATTTCCACCGTCTCACCGTCCCCTCTCCTCCACTTCACAGAGCACCCACTGCAACACCCCTTTACGAACGGACCCAGCGAGACGTTGAAACCCGTACTGAATTCAAGACGGAAATTCGCTACATGCATGCGAACGATGATGTTGGCGGAATTATTTAATTAACAGCTGCGACAAGGTCCGCGTGTCTTAATTACGACGCGGTCAATTATACAATCGTGAAAG